ACAGATGGAAGAACTCTCGTATTGTTTATAATAAAGTAGGCGTATCGAGACGTATTCAATAGAAAATCGCGCAATACCAAGACGCATGCGGCCCTGGAGGAGCACTTATCGCACACGTAGGTGAATGTCGGCAGAGAAATCATACCGGCAAGGACGACGTAGCGAGAGAAAGAGCAGGACAGGGTGAGCGGGAAAGAGATACAAACCACGCCCGGGCTCATCCCGACTTTCTAGAAACCGAAAACTGGATCGTGGCTGCCAACATCTCGGGAGATCTCGAGAAACGTCAGTCCCGGTTGATTCACGTAACAGACGTCAGTCCTCGCCGACCACGCTCCTCTTTCTTTCGCTCTTCTTATTTCTCCTCCCGTTCCGCGTAACCGGCTACCATTTCCCGTGGACATTACTCACTCTCGGCCGCTCGGAGAAACTCCGCTTGGCGTAGAAAAAAATCCGAGATTTTTAAAACGAATTCAATCAAGATGATCTCGGGGAGAGCTCTGAATTAGAATCAACAATGTATCTGCTAATAAATTATTTTTTAATTATTTCATTGCACATTATTTTTCAAGCAAAAGCCAAATTTAACTTTTTTAAATCTTCGATCTTTATATCGAGCATCTAAATAAAATTTTTTAAAATAAAAATAATTTACAAGTTCCGAATTTTTGAATTACTAATGTACCAATTATAGAGAAAATTATGGCAATGTGCCTGAAAGCAATGTCGACTTGGCACCTTCCTTGAAAAGGCGTTGCTGAAAAGTTTGAAGCAAACAACCCAAGATCCAATGTCCGGATCTCGCCACAGGTTTTCAATTCCTCAAATTCGACAGGGCGTCGCCCGAGGATGGGTCCGCGCTCGAGTCGCGCGAAAGTTTCTCCTCGCGAAGTATTATTACAGGGAACAAGGGAAAGTACATGTAAATCGAGCTTAATCGACCGCATCTCTCGCCGGACAACACACACGCTCTACTACTATCACTTTCTTGCGCGCGAAAAGGCGGCGTGCGGCGACGGCGAGCGGGGCAGCGGTAACGCAGAAAAATCAATCGCCGCGATCGGCGTACGTCGTGCCGCGCGTCGTCGCTTGACGCGTATATGCATTACTTTCGACTTCGAAACCCAGGTCGCAAGGAATCCTTCTTGACGCCCATAATTAACGCTTTTCACTATTATCGTCGGACGAGCGAGATTTTTGCGCTCGTCCGCGCCTTTTACGACGCGCGCGCGCGTCGCCGCGGCCGCTCTTTTTCCGCCTCACCCTCCCGGCCGCGCCGTCGGCACAACGAGCAGATTTCTCTTTCGCCGAAGTGGACAACCGAAGAGCGGATTAGAGTTTCTGGTTTGTAACTGGATCAGTTCATGCGCAACGGTACACAGGCGGAGCCGTCGATCGCTAAAGTATCGCGATCTCGGAGATACCGAATGTGTTTACGACTCGATGATGGAGGCCATTAAATCACTGCATTAATTGCTTACATCTGCGACACGAGAGATTTCCCAGTTCGTGTTTGCATATTAAGAGCTCATGACTAAATATGCAACTGATAAATATCTCGCTATAATGTACACTCTCTCTTCTTCTCTTTCGTTCCTTTTTCACCCTTTTCCTTCCTCTTTCCCCTTTTTCATAGTAATACAGTTGCTTTTCTTATTTAACTTGTACGGAATGATTTATAAATGATAATTGCTAAGATAAGTCTATTTCTATTCATAATGACACGTTGATTTTTTTATTCTTTTTATAACTTTATTATTTATATACTTTTAACATGAGAAAATGGACACATATGTAATATTGTAACAATTACATAATTCTTGTGTTAATTATATTATATTATTTTATATTTATAATGTTATTTTATTTTATTAAATTCTATCTCATGAGTTTACATTACATTTAATTATTATAATTTGCATTATAAATGTCTTACATTATATTTTTTACATTTTTCTGTTAGTATTGTCGGGAAAATCAATAAATTCATATAGTCACAGTGAGATATGATTACACAATGAAAGCCTCTCGCGTTTCTACGTTTAGCTCGGTAGCACGTGGCGATTGAAGATAAAATATACTCGCCTTCTCGCCATGCGCGGATAGAGACATCAATGCTCGCAAGAACGCGCGGAAAGCGCGGTGATCCCGGCATAGCTGCGTCACTTTCAGTCGACGAATCGACTTATCACGACGATCTCTCTGCAGTCCATAACAAACAAAAAACTTTTTTTTTTCTTTCTTTATAAATCATAAACTACTAAATATTCCGCGCGGAAACGTGTCGATAATTATTCCCGCTAGCAAGTAAACACAATAAAGTGATAAAACCAGACAGAAGAAAAAAGTGATCACAGGTTGAATTACTTCTATCGTATTTACATTTTAAATGTAATTCTGTATTTTAGCAGTGCATTATACCGTAACATCAATATATTTAATCATTGTGCATTTAAAATCACATTCTGTATTTCTTTTTTCTATTTGTCTATGTATTTATCGTGGTGTTTCTTTTTTTGTAAACTTATCTCATGTTTCACTTGTTCTCCAAGACGTGAACAAACTGATAGCATGTTTATATTTAATCGACAAGTTGTGTAAACAAACGAGTATCTCTTTCGGATTGTTACCGATATCGTTACTTCATTACATCGCGGAAGAACACGGTTCATTCGCTGACGAGCGGAGCAGAAAAAATCCGAGCAAAATTAACTGCGCGTATGATCGCGATCCATTAATAAAATTCTGTCAATTAGCGGGCGCTACGGAGTCCGAAGCACGTGCCAGAGTGAAACGGTAAAGCATTTAGAAGCGAGGCATAAAATGAGAGAGAGAGAGAGAGAGAGAGAGAGGCTCGACTTGCAAACTTGCTCAACTTTATCCTCGCGCCCGCGTGTCAAACTATCGAGAGTACTCGCGAAACTCTCGCGAGCGAAGCGAAGTGCATTTTCTCCCCGAGTGTGCATCTCACGGGCGCTGGGCGTGCGTATAACGTTTTACGGAGATTGAAACCCACGCGGTCTCGCACGTTGCGGCGATTGCAATCGACTCGTCGCAGCAGTTTTCACCGTCGTGATTTACCGTAAAGATCACTTTTGCCTGTCGGTGATTTCGAATGAAAATTAGTTGAAATTAATTCTAGAAATAAATGAGGAGCGTCATCTTATATGCGCCTCGT